TCCCTACCTTCTTTTTATCTGACAACTCTATCTCCTTCCATCCGCCATACACAGAAGACTTGAAAAGTGTGTTTTTTAAATTAAGCTGATTTTCAACATTTTATAAATCAAAATCAGAAATCTTGGATTTGGAATTATATTTTAAGCATTAGCTAACATAACTTCTCAAATTACCAAATGAAAAAACATACTTCTTTCCTCTAGGTTTTAACAGTTCAGAAGTGAAATAGGAATTATTCTAAAACAAATAGAAATGCTACATAATCCCAATTAAAAAACACAGTCAGGATGAGGAAAATACTTTGACTTAGCTGTGTTTTGTTTTTTTAATTTACTCTTCTACTTCCCTAGCATAATAAATTGCAGAGATAAATTCTTCACACTTTATAAGTAAATAATAAATACTGGTTACCATTTCATCTTCTTGACCCTGATTGATAGTCTTCCTTTCTTCTTTGTCCATATCTACAGTGATTTAAAAGGTCTTGTACTTCAGAACAGTTGAAGACAACTGAGAGATGAGAGGAACAAATGTTAGGAAGTTATTATTTATCTTAGTATACTATATAACTTCATATTATTACATTTCTTGTTGTGACATATGTATCAATGTTTAACTGGTACTTAAGTAACCACTAAAGTGCTAGCTGGTTCTAATGCCATTTTCAATGGTGTGCCAGTTCTTGCACCTGCATTACTTACAATCACAAAACGTGGCATATTCCATTAATGAATTTGTACTAGCAATAGCCCTGCTACAAAACAACTTCAATTTTGGGAGAAAATACTACAGAACCTTCCCTTTCATTCTCCAGACTCAGAGACGTAACCTAGTTGTGCCGTAAAAGTGCTTCACACAACTCAATTTATTGCTGGAAATATAGTGAAGAGGTAAAGCACCAGTAGTGAAACCACCCCAAAACCTCTTAGGGATTAAAGTATCATCCAACAAATGTTTACTAAGCAAGCATCTATTACATGAATGACATTCCCTGGCCACTAGTCAATCCCCATGGCATGTGTACCACTATAGGAGGTCACTCAACTGATTCCCCCGTTCTCATTCCAAAGTCCACTAAGCAATCTTATGACTATTTCTGACTACTCATGATGCTTGTCTAGGAGAAAATTCACTGAGCTCATCAACAAAGTTTTTTCCCCTGTATTAAAAAAAATGAGATTAATTATAAACAGACATTCGGCCACACATTAAAGAGATTTGCAAATTGTAGAACAATGCCTATTTTCTCATGATTTTTTTTGGTTATGGCAAATACTTTTCAGAAAAATGTTACTTAATATGTAATAAATGTATTATTGTCACATCTTATTAAACTAATATTCTCAAATCTATATCAGTTTTAACTAACATGGTATCAACAGATACAATGCAAATAAACAAAAGCTTTTCAGAGTTCACAATAAACATTAAAGCAGTGGTTCTCAACATTCCTAATGCCGGGACCCTTTAATACAGTTCCTTATGTTGTGGTGACCCCCAACCATAAAATTATTTTCATTGCTACTTCATGACTGTAATTTTGCTACTGTTATGAATCGTATTGTAAATATCTGATATGCAGGATGTATTTTCATTATTACAAATTGAACATAATTAAAGCATAGTGATTAATCACAAAAACAATATGTAATTATATATGTGTTTTCTGATGGTCTTAGGCGACCCCTGTGAAAGGGTCGTTCAACCCGCAAAGAGGTCGCGACTCACAGGTTGAGAACCGCTGCATTAAAGGTTACCAGTCTGAGCCCAAAGCCTTGGAGAGCCACTGCTTTAGACTAGGCTGATGTCTGCAGAACAGCCAATAGGTAATATAACCTCTCAGTCCCAATGTCATGTTTCTACCTCATCTAGCCAGTGTGTAGTACAGGCCTGACACATGGTAGACACTCAAAAATTACTTGTTGAGTGAATAACACTTGTTGTGCTAAGATAGCATTAGCTGTTTAATGTTTATAAATGTTAGGAAATTATTTTTCCTAGTAGATTATATAACTTCATATTATCACATTTCTTGTGATACATGTATCAATGTTTAACTGATACTTAAGTAATCAAGTAAAATAGCCAAGTAAAACTAACTGCAGCATTTTAAACTAATCCCATATATGACTACTGAAATCTCAACAAAATGACCAATGAAAATATTCATGCCTCCTATATCAGCACCCAGCACTTGTCTACCTACTGGTAGCCCTGGAGATGGGGTCAGAGCTAAGTAGAGCCAGGACTTTCTATAGAAATAAAAGGCAGAATTTTAAGATAGACAGAGATAGATAGATCAATAGATAGATAGATAGATGACTTAGTGCCATCTTGGAAAAGAAAATTTAGAAGTATCTGGTCCAACTTCTCCAAAAGAAGCCATACTATACAAAAACAAAACAAAACAAAACAAAAAAACACCTTTGGGAAATTTAGTAGCAAGTTATTTTTAGTCTAGGGCAGTATTACAGCCATGAAGTATGTTACTACCATGTTAAGACTAATCCATCAAATCAATATTATATGAGGAAACTGCTGCTATGGACTATAGGGAGAATGAACTAGCCCAACCTCTTCCCTGTACAAAAGGTCAGCAGCTGTTACCTGAACATGGAAGAGGTTGACCAATCTTGCAAGATTTAAATGTGCACATGCCCACTTTCAAAGGTTAAGACAAAGGCATCTACCCTGATGCTGTTGCCACAAAAAAAATACCAGTCTCAGGTTCTTAACTATAGTCCATGGTTCTTCCATAAGTTCTGGACTGAATCTCAGGATCATCATTCAGGATTCATCAAACTCATTTTTTGTAATTAAGTAGAGGCCGGGTGCATGGATTCATGCACCAGTGGGGTCCCTCGGCCTGGCCTCCGCCCTCTCGCAATCCGGGACACCACCAATGCATGGTTGGGGCTGGGAAGGGACTGTAGGAGGGCTCCAGGGTGTGTCCAGCCCATTTCAGGGGCTGATTGGGCCAGGGAGGGACCACAGGAGGTTGGCCGTCTGGGAAGGGACTGTGGGAGGGCTACAGGGCATATCTGGCCCATCTTGCCCAGTCCTGATCTGCTGGACCCCGGCAGCGAGCTAACCTACCGGTTGGCGTGTCTGCCCCCTGGTGGTCAGTGCACATAATAGCTACCGGTCATTCGGTTGAACAGTCACTTAAGCTTTTATATATATAGATTACATATAATTCTGATCCCCATTTTCCACCACCACCACCTAAAATATGTTTTCTAACCAAAAAATAAATAAAATATGTTTCTTCAGGTGAGAAACTATGTTGAGACTTCTGCTTCCAACCAAGATGAAAAAACAGAGACCAGATTTGCCTTCCCATCTAAAACAACAACAAAATGGACAAAATATAAAAAACAAGTTTTCAAGAAAACGGACACCAGGTAATGAAAGAAACTGATACAGAGATAGGAAAGAAACTAGATGAGCTTTGCAATTATCCCAGTTTGCAAACTAAAGAGTCTACAGCAAACACATCACAGCAAACACATCAAACTCGTGCCAGCGGGCCGGGAGTTTGACATGTTTGGTCTACAGTCTGCAAAAAAAAGGGAAGGCAGGGAACCCAGGGGGAGTAGAGCAGTCTCTGATTTGGGGAGATGAGGCTGCAAAGTGACCAGGTTTGCAGGGCAGATCTGAACAGAGAAAGGACACTGAAAATCTGCAAGATGATCCCTATCCCTCTCAAGTCTTCTACCAAGTACTGATCAGCACTTATGTGTGAGGCAAATACCAGA